CCGCCGCGAGCAATGCCCGTTCCGAGCAAAGCCCGCCGCGAGCAATGCCCGTTCCGAGCAAAGCCCGCCGCGAGCAATGCCCGTTCCGAGCAAAGCCCGCCGCGAGCAATGCCCGTTCCGAGCAAAGCCCGCCGCGAGCAATGCCCGTTCCGAGCAAAGCCCGCCGCGAGCAATGCCCGTTATGAGCAAAGCCCGTGCGAGCAATGCCCGTTCGAGCAAAGCCCGCCGCGAGCAATGCCCGTTCCGAGCAAAGCCCGCCGCGAGCAATGCCCGTCCGAGCAAAGCCCGCCGCAAATGCCCGTTCGAGCAAAGCCCGCCGCGAGCAATGCCCGTTCCGAGCAACGCCCGCCGCGAGCAATGCCCGTTCCGAGCAAAGCCCGCCTGCCCGTTCCGAGCAAAGCCCGCCGCGAGCAATGCCCGTTCCGAGCAAAGCCCGCCGCGAGCAATGATGCCCGTTCCGAGCAAAGCCCGCCGCGAGCAATGCCCGTTCCGAGCAAAGCCCGCCGCGAGCAATCGCCGCGTTGCCCGAGCAAAGCCCGCCGCGAGCAATGCCCGTTCCGAGCAAAGCGCCGCCGCGAGCAATGCCCGTTCCGAGCAAAGCCCGCCGCGAGCAATGCCCGTTCCGAGCAAAGCCCGCCGCGAGCAATGCCCGTTCCGAGCACAGCCCGCCGCGAGCAATGCCCGTTCCGAGCAAAGCCCGCCGCGAGCAATGCCCGTTCCGAGCAAAGCCCGCCGCGAGCAATGCCCGTTCCGAGCAAAGCCCGTCGCGAGCAATGCCCGTTCCGAGCAAAGCCAGCCCCGCGACCAATGCCCGTTCCGAGCAAAGCCCGCCGCGAGCAATGCCCGTTCCGAGCACAGCCCGTCGCGCGCAATGCCCGTTCCGAGCAAGCCCGCCGCGAGCAATGCCCGTTCCGAGCAAAGCCCGCCGCGAGCAATGCCCGTTCCGAGCAAAGCCCGCCGCGAGCAATGCCCGTTCCGAGCAAAGCCCGCCGCGACCAATGCCCGTTCCGAGCAAAGCCCGCGCGAGCAATGCCCGTTCCGAGCAAAGCCCGTGCGAGCAATGCCCGTTCCGAGCAAAGCCCGCCGCGAGCAATGCCCGTTCCGAGCAAAGCCCGTCGCGAGCAATGCCCGTTCCGAGCAAAGCCCGTCGCGAGCAATGCCCGTTCCGAGCAAAGCCCGTCACAATGCCCGTTCCGAGCAAGGCCGCCGCGAGCAATGCCCGTTCCGAGCAAAGCCCGCCGCGAGCAATGCCCGTTCCGAGCACAGCCCGACGCGAGCAATGCCCGTTCCGAGCAAAGCCCGCCGCGAGCAATGCCCGTTCCGAGCAAAGCCCGTCGCGAGCAATGCCCGTTCCGAGCAAAGCCCGCCGCGAGCAATGCCCGTTCCGAGCAAAGCCCGCCGCGAGCAATGCCCGTTCCGAGCAAAGCCCGCCGCGAGCAAAAGCAAAGCCCGCCGCGAGCAATGCCCGTTCCGAGCAAAGCCCGCCGCGCAAAGCCCGCCGCGAGCAATGCCCGTTCCGAGCAAAGCCCGCCGCGAGCAATGCCCGTTCCGAGCAAAGCCCGCCGCGAGCAATGCCCGTTCCGAGCAAAGCCCGCCGCGAGCAATGCCCGTTCCGAGCAAAGCCCGCCGCGAGCAATGCCCATTCCGAGCAAAGCGCACCGCGAGCAATGCCCGTTCCGAGCAAAGCCCGCTGCGAGCAATGCCTTCCGAGCAAAGCTCGCCGCGAGCAATGCCCATTCCGAGCAAATTCCGCCGCGAGCAATGCCCGTTAAGAGCAAAGCCCGAGCAAAGCCCGCCGCGAGCAATGCCCGTTCCGAGCAAAGCGCGCCGCGAGCAATGCCCGTTCCGAGCAAAGCCCGCCGTGAGCAATGCCCGTTCCGAGCAAAGCCCGCCGCGAGCAATGCCCGTTCCAAGCAAAGCCCGCCGCGAGCAATGCCCGTTCCGAGCAAAGCCCGCCGCGAGCAATTGCCGTTCCGAGCAAAGCCTGCCGCGAGCAATGCCCGTTCCGAGCAAAGCCCGCCGCGAGCAATGCCCGTTCCGAGCAAAGCCCGCCGCGAGCAATGCCCGTTCCGAGCAAAGCCCGCCACGAGCAATGCCCGTTCCGAGCAAAGCCCGCCGCGAGCAATGCCCGTTCCGAGCAAAGCCCGCCGCGAGCAATGCCCGTTCCGAGGTCCCGAGCCGCCGACCTCATGGAGTTAGCAGCTTCCGGCGATTTGGCCCTGCTGAAGACTCCTCTGGAAGGCCACTGGACAACTCTTCCTTTCACTCTGATCCAAGCCCGTCCAGTCTTTGAGTGCAGGATCTGCCGGCGCCGGCTTCTTTATGGCAGGCGTTCTGAAACGTTTCAGGGTTTTGTTTCACGATGTAAAACCACGCAAGGACTGCCGTCGTGGCAGAGCTCGCAATAACATGTCGCGAGTATCTATAGCCTGCTCGTTGTGCTGCATCAAGCCTGAACTGTTTTCCGTGACCCGAACGTTGAGCTGCCCGAGAGGCTATGACCTTTTCATTTATGCGCAGTTGTTGGCGTCCCTCGGCCATGAACGCTTGTGTCAAAAGGTGTACAAGCTGCATTGGCGGCCTAGCACGCAGCCGCACTCAAGGCTTCAGAGAGGTGTTGCTTTGTAGATGGTATCATGTGGCTGTTCCACTTCTTTCGCGAATCGTATCTCGGCCCTGGGAAGTTGTGTCCATTCCTTGTCAGCTCAGGTTCTTCTTGTTCTTCTTGTGTGGCTCAGCGGAATTGCAGAATCTATCAGTAGCCTGTGACCCCTGGCGCCGCAGCAAATTATCAGCTGATTCTAGAGCGCCACATGCCGTCTGTGACGGACCGGCCCTTGCCAGCTCGGTTGCAGGGCTGACAAGATGTGAGGCCTAGTTCTTGTGAGGCCGTTACCACGTGCTTATCAGCAACATTAATCAGTCCTTGCGCGTTCTGCAAACCGTCAACTAGACTTACCACCATCTCAAGCACGAAAGCTGTTGCCAAAACGGTGCTTGGAAGCAGAGGTTGAGCTGTTCATCTCGCCAAGCTACAGAATTTGAAGATGCAGAACGCTTGGAGCAAGACCGTTCTTGGACTTCAGACGGAGAAGCGATACTGTGGACATCCGACTAGTACGTATCGAGTCCACAAGCACGTCGTGAGTCAACCATGTCATCAGTCCTACAAGTCCTTGCTTCCCTCCGAATAGAAGTCGTACTTGGTCCAGCATATCCTCGTGAACTTACAAGTTTATCTTGCGTCACCTAGTTCATGTTGCCACGCCTATACTACTGGTTCTTCAGCGTATAGGCAAAGGCCAACATCTGGTCTAGTAGTCACCACCCTCATAGCAACATGGTTGAGGCATGCGCTGCTGCGGTTGCTGCTGTCGGAGGAAGCCAGCGGCCCTGTCAAATGGGAAACAGAAAACACAGTGCACCTTGATTGAAGTATATCTTCTCGCTTCCGGCCGGTCGAAGTGCAGGGATGCGAGCCGAAGACAATGACAAGCTGGATGTATCCCTCGTCTCAAGCAGTTGTCATCCTGCTTTGGTCTTTCAGCCTGCAGTGAGGACCTGCAAAGATGTGTCATCCGAAATGTTCGTGGGCGAACTCCAAGAATGAGTCTGAGTCAGAGCCATTTACACGAGTCTTAGAAAGAGTCCTGCGGAAGGAGCTTTGTGGGCACTTTCGAGGGGAGCTTCCCATGTACAGAGAGGTTGTGGCGATGCCGAAAGGTCCCGGCTTCAAAGATGCCGAGAGACGAAAGGCCGAAGGCACCGAAGGCTACCACGCAGCTTTGTGCTCCGTGGACCTCGGAGTTCGTTGTATTGCTGCGGGCATGGTCCATCCATTGCGCCCTGTACAGCAAAGTTTAAGGGCTGAGGAAGGCAGACTATTTGTTGACCAGGTAGTTGATGATTGATATCATGTATGCGAATTACAATGATACGCCACAATCTTGAACTCCTGGTGCTTCGACTCTGCTTGCAGCCTCACGTATTTATCAAGTTGGAGTTTTCCCGAAAGCGTTGCCAAGGGTTTGTCTGCTGACTGCTCAGCTTGTTGTTTTGGATACGTAGGTGTGATGTGTAGATGTGACGGCCACGTGACGTGGTGCGGCGTGAATTTAGGCTGGAGGCGGGGGCCTGATCAGCTCGAAAGCGTGCCCGCCTCCTGATTCGCCAAAATGCGTCGTTCTATAGCGGTTTCGGCATGATTTGGGTCTGTGCTTCGCCGCTGGTCCTATGTCTCTTCCCATCGTACTGAGAATGAACGGTTTTGCCTGCACAGAAATCGCAACTCTGTTCGCTCGTCTGGCTTATCGTGACTCGTTTGTGTCGTTGTGCAGTAGTTGCGACACGATTTTGCAATGCAAATGCTTCAAATTTGCAACTGTCTTGGTGGTCATGGGCGTGTAACGTGTGATGATGATCATGATGGCGACATGTGACGACGACGATGACGATCAGGGTCACGAGGACGACGATCAGGATCGTGTTCTCAATGATGATGATGCTGATGCCGTGACGCTGATGGAGTCATGACTTGAATTATTCATGGTTGAAAAACACAACGCTTTTGGGACATTGCTTTGGTCGTGTTTTGGAGGATGGGCTCGGCTGCTACCGAGCCGCATTTGATGCGCACATGTGGCGTTGAGGATGCAAAAGCAGCAATGCCAGTCGAGCATTTGATCCAAGACGGTCGGACAGAACATCCGCACACAAGCGACGAGCCACGATACCGCAGCCGCTGAGTATGACCGTATTTGGAGGCCTCCGCAACACAGCTGAAGGGGCACGGAACGGACATCGAGTGTAAAGGAGACTTACACGTGAGTTGTTCAAGTTATCCAAGCACTGACTGAGATGGCGCGTTGACATGAAAGAACTCAGGCAGGAGTCGGGAACCCCCAAGACATGCCTTGAAACCAGGCAACACAATTTAGATCAAATGTTGGAAGATGCCGTAAAAGTCTGAGAGACATCACACCGCGTAAGGGCTGCCGGTCATGGAGTTTGCATGCAGCCGACGGTTGGCTCCCCTGCTGGCTTTGTCTCTGCTTGGAGCCACCGGGCGGCACTTCTGCGGAAGCTCTTATAGCCAACAAGTATTGAGATGACAGAGTTACTGAGTTAGCAGCACTGTCGTCACTATCGCATGGAGACTGGAGACTCATGCTTGGCCGGTTCAGCACAAGCATGCCTCTGCTCCCTCCCTTCGTCCGTGCACCCCACAAGCTGAGTTTGTTGCCTTTACTTTCACGGCCCCAGCGCCAGCGAGGCGAGGTGGTATATGAATTAAGGACATGAGCTAGCAAAACAAGTGCACATGTTTGCAAGGAGCAAGCCTCCAGTTTAGCTCCTCTGGAATTCTGCGGGTTCGACCTGTCTTTTCATTTTAGAGTTACCCTGTCGTTCAAGATTTGCCAGTGGTCATCTTCGCATCAAGACCTTCTCATCTACACATGTGCGGCAGTGTCTCCTCTTTTCTAAATTATTGTGAAGGCGCATGGTGGCCGTGAGTCGCTCTGCCGATGGCGGTCGAGACTACACAGAAGACCTGAATCAGCTGCTGTGGTCGCAACCGGACAGCTGGCAAGGGAAAGAGAGAGAGAGAGAGAGAGCGAGAGAGAGTCCGCGAACCTTCACCATGTTTTCACACCCCTCTAAAGCCCCATAAACATCGGGGGGCCTCTAAGACCGAGGGGTCTCGCACGCCCCTCACGCCCCGGGGAAGAAGAGCCCACGATGCACACTCGGCACTGGTCGATTCCGAAGCATGTTCTGACAACAGCAGGGAGGGTATAGAAATGCCTCGGGAAGCATTCATGGCCCCGATCGAGCTGTTTACAAGTCATGTCTGCCGCGCTGATGTTGAGAATACCAAGCGGAGGGGTGTGTCACTCATCCCGCGAGTCGGAGCAATCCGTCGTCAGCACTCGCTCCAGAGTGCTGTTTGTCTTTGGCAGAACCCCCGTGTAGGTGTAACGTGGGCTCGGCTGGAGTGTGAAACTCCTAGGCCGCCGCAGCGTTCTTTTCTGAAACTCTACGGGAGCCAAGCCCATGACTCGGTGTGGCAGCCCTCAAGAGTCCACATCGTTGGGAATGACAGCCGTGTTTTTGAACCCTTGTCGCAGCAAGCCGATTCTCGCTTAAGGTAAGTAACACTTGATATCTTCTCGCCTGGCCGTAGCCCGTCGGCTATGCTTGACTGAGCCCCTGCGTGTTCCTAGCTGGACTTCGCGCACAACTCCAGGTGTTCCTGATACAAGCTTACAACTCAACTGGGGCTCATGAACATATGCTCTCCAAAGAACGGTCTGTACAATCTGACGTTCTTGTTTTGGGAGGAAGGTGTTGTTGCAGGTCCACCTACAAGTGCCTTCTCAGGTGGTCTGATTGGAAATGTGTTTGCAACAGATGAAAAACAGCGATGACTGCAGTTCGTGATTCGAACTTGTGCCAAGTCAAGTCAGTAGATGTCATCACTGTGCAGCGAGCTTGGCCGTGCAAGAACCAGAAGTTCTAGATTCAGCTGCCTACCTTGGCCGGCCAATCCCGAGGCGAACCTTGGTGCTTGGCGTGATCTTCTTGGTGGCCAACATCTATGCTTTCTCTCCGATGGTTCCTCCGGAGGCCATGCTCTGAGACCCTGCCAGCAAGGAGCCCACATAGCTTCCCGGTGCGTGTATGGAGGCACGCAGACTGAAGGTGTGCATTTACGATAAGGAGTGCCCCTCCGCTGCTCCCTGAGCTCTTGGCCTCGCCTTGCTCATGGAAGCCTCAGGTACGAGCGCAAGTTCCTTTCGGACCCAACCAGGCCGCCTTTCAGTAGGATTAGCGGGTGCGATACGCTCTTTAACGGACATGACTTCCAGCCGATGCTCTGGCGCAGCCCCTCGACGCGTCTCCACCCAGTGACGGCATACACGACCTGCCTGTTTCACACTCCTCCAAGACTCCCCCGCACTCAAAGTTCTTTGATAGAGAAGGGTACAAGTTGTGCAGGAACACCCAAGGCCTCTCAGCGCTGCAGGACTTCGGCTTTTGCTTTGGTTGGATCAGATAGGAGCTTCAGCCGGTCTCATTGCAGTTTGCAGCTTCAAGACGAAGCGTCGCTGACGAAGGAAGCCGCAGTGGGAAGTTGTCACATGTTCACCGGCCTCCGCCTGTGAGGACGAAGATTGCCTGCCTCTGGGAGAAGTCTTGCAGAAGTGGCTGCCGCAGCCCCGACGCTGAGAGGCAGTGAAGCTGGCATTTTGGCTCATGATCGGTTTAAGTTTTTGATGATGATGTGTGTTTGCTGTTTGCTGTCGGCACTGTTTGTCGGAAGTATGGAAGGCTAAACAACATTGACCAGGATCTTGTCCCAAAGCATGTTATCTGTCCAAGCACGCCGTCGGAGTCGGGCGGCACATACATGCCTGAAGTCAAGAACACCGCCAACTTTCGGGGGGAGGGGACTGGTGACAAGCGCATGGCATCCACCAGGATCGGCCTCTTCCCGACTTTTTTGTCTTTGCATCGGTGCCATTTCAACATGCACCCCGCCTGGATTGCCACGATTCAAGCTGTGTTCCCTTCTCAGTCGAGTTCAGTTCTGTGTCAGCAGGTTTTGGTGGGGCGTTCGGTTTGACTTCAACACATTCGTGGACACTCCCACGCACACGCATGCACGGTGACATCATTATGAACAGCAAGCTGATCCAAGGCCTGCTATTCCAGATGTTTGCGATGATTGTGTTAGTCAGTCTATACAAGCTGCTTTCCGCTCAAAAGATTCTAGAATAAGTTGCAACCACTGATCGTCTGAGGAATGTGAGGTGCACACGCCTCTTCTGCGGCCTTTTCCCTGATGAGCTGCACCCATGACGCGCGATTGTCGAAGTTGTGAAGCTCGACACATATGTACAGCGATAGGTTTCTGCCTGGGCTTTCCCTGGCCAGTTCGGTTGGCTTGTCAGCGGATGATTCCCTGTCCCACAGATATTCAAAAGCCGCCGGTCCTCCGCGCGTCCGTTCCTACCCACGCAAGAGACGCATATCCCTTCTTTTGCGGATAGACGTCTGTTAATGCAGGCGATTATGGAGTAATGTAATGTAATGCACCTAGCCCCACTTCGAAGCTTGGGGGCAGCTTGTGCAAAGGTTTGGCATTGATATGTACTGACCATTGCGAGTCAAAATGTTTCGCGATCATGTCTGCTTAGCCTTTTACAGGGTCGCTGGAGGCAGGAGCGCGTAGGCCGTCGCATGGAAGGGCACTTGTGACATGAAGATCTTCTCGCCGGAGCCACCCAGGAACACTCCAGCCATGCCTCAGCCCTCAATTCGAGCGCTGATGTCGCTACATGTGCTCCTGTTGTGTGCAGGCCGCGGCTGTATCGCAGTGCGACCGTAGGAATCGGGAATGTCACCCGAATCCGCCTTGTATAAGTAAGCACTTCAGCCGTCACTCTTGTCGGATTAGCTACGAGAGTGCGGCACAGGGAATGCAGCAAAGAGAGGCTTGGCCACTTGCTCGGCTTGCTCAGGCACGAGGTTGCAGGCTGAGCCTCCGGTGGGCACTTAAGTGAAGAACGCACCTGGCGCAAATTTGGGGAGACTTGTGACCGGAGAGAGAGAGCAGAGCACGGACTTCGCTGTCACGTTTTTCTAAAGCCCGAGAGATGCGGGAGAGCTCCGCAGCATTGAGACCCACCTACCTTGTTTTGCTTCAGAAGATGCAGAAGAAGATTGCAAAGCAGTGAGGTTGCAAAGGGGCCAAGGGCAAGGGCAAAAACTCGTACCACGGTGGCCGCTGCCATCGTTTTAGTGCATGTGGGAGGCCTGGGCACTGCTGCGGCAGTGAACTGCACCGAGTGCTGGGATGGCGGCTTTGCCCCGAGCGAGACCTGCTGCAAGGCGGGCTGGGGCAGGTGGGTCTCTGATGCTGATGCGCTGCAGGCGACATTCACACCTTGATTTGTAGAGGTAGAGGCCGCCTTTCGATTCATAGGAACTGTTTGGAGCTCCTCAAGCCGGACCGGCCCCTGGTCAGGTGTGTCCAGTTCAGTGCCCTTCAGGCCTCACGAGCTGCAGTTGACAGCATCTGTGCAAAACCAAGACACTTTGACTCGGATCGAGCGGAAGACTTGCAGCACTCTTGGGCTGAGATGCTGGTTACTAGTGCGGCAGGCAGCTGCGCCTGGATGCATTCGCAGGGCTACAAGTGTTACGATCCGGAGAAGGCAGCTTGTGCACCGCGGGAAGCTGGTATTGAGACGTGTAAGTTTCGATGCAGCATGCCTCCTGGTTCTGTCGTGGCAGGTTGTATTTCAGACGCTCTTACAGTGTCATATACAGATGTTCGATGTGCCCAGACTACTGCGCTTTGCAACTGTTCGAAGGAGGTGGCTTGCTACACTGGCACGGACCACCGAATCTGCGAGAAGTCGCAGGCCTGTTCCGTTCTTGGCAGCCATGGCAGCCTCTGCAATTGCTTTGCTTGGGCGTCCTGTTCTACTGCTGAATCCATTACTTCCGGGATTGGATTCGGAAGCACTGGAACCATCTGACAGTCCGATGTGGCACTTCTTCTGGGACTGAGGAACCCCAGCTTAAGCCACCATCCGCCCATCATTCCTCACACGGCTACCCTGCATGGCCGAGAAGTGCCGGAGATTCAGGAAAAGAAGCAGGACGCAGAAGCAGTTTGCGGGATCCAGATAGCACCACAACTGGGCGAACATGTGCAGGCAACGACCTGGAGCAGTTACCCCATCCTCCACACTCCAAAACCCACATTCCAAGTACGAACAAAGCCAGGACTAGCACGCGTGAGGTAAGTGGCGTCGTGAGAGGCTTGGCCTTAAGGTCCAAGCCGAAACATGCCTCTGGGTTTGCGAAGCTGGTCATGTTTGGAGATGCGCTGCATCTGTTGTCTTGGTAGTTCAGCTGCCCCCGCAAGTCTCGTGGCTTGGCATCCCCGCCTGCAAAGATACCATCAAGAAAAAGATTCATCCAACTCGGCAGGTCTGCCCGTCATGCGGATCGTGCAGTGGTGCCAGAGTGCAGCACTCGCAGTGCGATACCTGCCCTCCAGGCGCTGCCTTCGGGAGTGCTGCTGGAGATTTCGCTTTCGGCGGGGTACTTCGCTTCAACTTGGCAGTGTGGTTCCTTGAAAACAATACACTATGTCACCATCTCTGGCGGACCGGCCATTGTGCTGTAAAAATAACGTACTTCTTTTCAGGCCAGCGCCCGGATGAGTCCCACTGCAACTGCGTGCCCGAGCAGCTGGCGACGAATCACATCGTAAATGTGGGCTGCCTGGCAGCACGGACATGTGCCGTTCCGCGCGGCACGCCGATGTGTACGACAGAACGGCCGCAGCATGCTTGCGAAGGCAACCGTGCCTGCCCGACAAGCATGGCTCCGCTGAACTCTAGCAAGGCGTGACGGCTGCTACGCTTCGACAAGTCTCATTCATTTTTGGAGGCGTTGGTACCTTGTTGGGCCTCCAACGCGACTGAACTGTGTCGGCTGTTTCCTTATTGCCTGTACGCTCCCAATTTGATTTGTTTTCGCCAGGCCGAGTGCGCTGCTGCAGCCGAGGCAGGCCCGTAAGTGTCGCTTTTTTTCTTTCTGAGGCTCTAGATTCTACCGGGCCATGCAAGGTGCTTCTTGTCTCTGCGTGTCTCTGAGCTTATTGTCTCTGTTTCTGTCCCGGTGTGTCAATGTGTAGAAACGCAAGTTATGCAACTTATGCGTGTAGGAACAAGCGTAAGTCATCCGCTCGCTGTAGCTGTCTCGATCGTCTTTTCGTTTTCCCTCTCTCGCCTCTTAAGACTCGAAGACCAAGTGGCCGGCACGCGCCCAATAGGGTGCGGACGCCTGACTCTGCTTGTCCGGCCTGGTGCTGCTTCGTGCTACGACTAAATCGACACTGTGAACATGCATGTAGATTTTGGCTAACACGTCGTTAGCCCAGCGCTTGTTTGTGACTCTCTCTCTCTCTCTGTGTCTCTCTCTGTGTCTCTCTCTGTGTCTCTCTCTCTCTCTCTGTGTCTCTTCTCTCTCTCTCTCGCTGTGTCTCTCTCTCTCTCTCTCTCTCTCTCTTCTCTCTTCTCTCTCTCTCTCTCCCTCTCTCTCTCTCTCGCTCTCTCTCTCTCTGTGTCTCTCTCTGTGTCTCTCTCTCTCTCTCTCTCTTTCTCGATCGCTGGCCTTTCTCGATCGCTGGCGTTCGCTCATGTTATCTGTTTGCTGCGCTGGCCGGTGCACCACCTTCTTCAATGATTTTACAGCCCCCAACTGTGAGGGTACCAACTAGAACCGCGAGCTTTTCATTGTTCGTTCGGCTGACAGTAGCTTCGGTGGCTGCGAAGCCATCTACCGTTTGAACCTCGGACCCAAAAAATCGTTCAGTCTCTTCGCCTTGCCGCGCATCGTCCGTCGCCGATGATGCTCCAAGTAACGTTGGATTGTATCAGTATTTCTGGTCTTTTCCTACGTTAGGAAGTATCAAACGCGATCTTTTTCCAGGATGCGGTGTAATGCACACGTGCATGTTAGGACAAGTCGCAGCGAATGCGCACGGGTTTTCTCTGCTTGAAGTATTGAACAGGCCACAGGGTGTAACGACGGTCGCTAAAAGGCACCCACCTCTCCCACCCGGCGAAATCCCGCTGTTCGGTCGGCGGCTCAACATGCTGCCGGGCGGGCAGTCCAGAGCACCACAGTCGTTGGGACGCGGCGAAACGCGTGAGTCCTGCATGCCTTTGTCTTCTTGCTGTGCAGTACATGTAGAAGCGAATACTTTCGCTAATGTGTGTGTGCATGACTGTAAGACTTGTCTTTTGATATATGCCAAGACCAAGTTGAGACCCCTTCGCCGGAAAGGATTTTTCGACTTAGTGTTGAGTACTTAAAGCCATGTGTCGATGCGAACGTGGATCAGAGTTTGGAGGCGGAGTAAGATATACTGTTTCCCAGGCTACGCACATGGATGCCCGGCGGCGACGGATGTTGTCTGGGTGGACGTTATCACTCACGGTCATCGCATAGAGGCTCCACTGAATCGCAAATCATCACCAGACCACTGCAGCCCAACAATGGCTACCACGGCACCACCACCACCCACCCGCACAGTCGTCCGATCTCCGACTCTTCTCGTTCGCTATCGGCACACGCTCTGTCTTGACGGGAGAGCGGCGAGCCATGCAAGTCGTTCAATGCAATCCATGGCCAACGCTGGAGGC